AGGACCCCAGATGTTTGCAGACAATGCCTCGTTTCGATAAGCTTGGATTTTATAAGGGACCATTGCCCAGGGATTGCGGTCATGTTCATACTCGCAAATTAATTGGTAAATCTCAGGGCACGTGGAACACAGGGCCCTCTGCCTCGTATCCACCATTACTTTGTGAGTTTTTGGCTGGTCTCATCTTGACTGCGCATGCAGCCTCCGGAGGGGGCTCCAAGTCTCGACCATCCAGTGCCCCACAACCCGTGGTGTCCGTTGAAGCTGAGCCCGCCTTTTGTCCTGCCCCTAAGATAAATAGAGTTGCTCCCCCTAAGATAAACAGGGATCCACCACCACTGGACTCACAGCCTCCAGCGAAAGTCCCAAGACTTGTGAAACAGACTGAAGTTCTTGACCTGACAGGTGAAGATGACGTGGCCCCCCCAGTCCACTTCAATCAGCCGACTGGTGAAGATGGGCTGAGGGCTCAAGAGTCCGACGGCTTTGACATGGAGGCGTGCTTGAACAGAGGTCACCCCATGACCGTGGAGTGGGGGGGCAAGAGTCGTGAGTTCGTTGACGGCTGTGGGCTTTGTAGCCCTGGGAGATGACCCCCAAGGGCGCGGGGTGAAAGGAGATCCAGTGGAATGAAAGAGCTCGCGGCAGCTACTTTCGACCTCCTCCGCCGGATGGTGCAGCGTGTCATCGAGAAACCTAAAAAGGAGGCCTTCAGACTTGTGACGGGCAAACTTTCTCAGTCCCCTTTTTCTGAGGAAGTTCTTGCAGTGCTTCGTCGCGAGTGGGCCGGGCTGCTACTGGATCCAGAGGATGCCTTGGTCGTGGATCAGGGGCAGCCCTTCCTTTTGAGAGGCCTGGCCCAATGGCTCAAAGTCTTTTCCGATCCGGACGCCAATTGGCTTGTGGACGTTGAGGACTCGTTCGCCTCGGGGGTTTGCCTTGGCGTTGAAAAGCCTCTTGCCAGGTCTCCTCAGGTGTGCCCCCCGAAGGTTAAGCATCGCAAGTTGGACGATTCAGACTTTTGCTCAATTGCACAAAACTATGCGTCCGCAGACATGTCGTCCTCGGAGCTCGAAACTAAGTTTAGGGAAGAGGAGGCCCTCGGCAGGATGTTCCCTTCCAAGTTGGGCGTGCTTCGTGAGCAGTACGGTGACAAGCTGAGAATCGCGTCGATGGCGGCTATCAAGAAACCGGACGGGTCAGTGCGACCCCTTCATGACGGGACGCATTCGGTGAAAGTGAACAACGGAATCCGTTATCAAGACCAACTTGAGTGCCCTGGCCCAGGGGAGATTGCTTCAGTCGTTCGTACTTCAGTCGAGACCAGAGAGGCCCCCTTTTGCGTCTCTGCTGATATCAAAGCCGCCCACAGACTCGTAAAGATTGGTAAATCCGATTGGGGATATATGTGCTGTAGAGTTGACTCTTCCTCGGAGACGGTCTGGGTAAACCGGGTTGGAACATTCGGCATCTCGAGCGCTCCATTCTGGTGGTCGAAACTCTGCGGCTTGATCGGCCGATTCGTAATGCATTGCGTGCATTGGCTTCTCCATATGATTTATGCGGACGACTTGCATGGGGCATTCGTAGGACAACACAAGTTTTGGCTCCTTTGGATCTGGCTCTTGGCCTTCGAACTTGTAGGGGTTCCTTTTGGGTACCATAAGTTCCACGGTGGCTTTGCCTCTGAGTTTGTAGGTTTCCACTTGAGATACGACCTTGCGGAAGTTGGCATTTCCGAGAAGAGGGGTCAACGGTTGCTTGAGTGGGTTGCGAAAACTGCAGCCGTTCGCTTTGTTGTTGTCGCTAGGTCTTTCGTTGAATTTCTTGGCCGTTTGGGGTTCGTCTCACAGCTGCTTGTATGGCTGAAACCGCACTTATCTCCTTTGTTCGCATGGGCCGCCGTGGTGGCCCCGGGCACTGTGGGGAAGTTGCCCTACACCGTAATTCTCACTTTAAAGTACATCGACTTGGAGCTTAAGGGTGAGACATTCTTGATCTCTATAAAGAGGCCCGTTGTTGTTTCGCACGAGGTCTTTAGGACTGACGCGAAGTGCGCGGATGACTGGGTGATCTTGGGGGGTTGGGAGCTTGCCACTAGGAGACGGTTTTCATTAAGACTAACGCAGCTTGATGTCCCGTTCCTTTTCCAAGAAGGGAAGGGGGCCATGTGGGCATCGACCTCGGCTGAGCTCTTGGCATCGTTGGTTGCCCTCGGTGTGTTCGGTTGGATCTCGCAAGGGAAGCATCGTAAATCGGTACCTCTGGTCCTTACCGCGGGCACAGATAACCGTGCCAACGATGTGTTGTCGACCAAACGCACTACAACGAAGTGGCCGCTCATGGCCATAAACATGCAACTCTCGTCTGCCATCGCCAAAGCAAGGCTTTCGTTAGACCTGAGGTGGAGACCAAGAGAAGAGAACGAAGAGGCTGACAGCCTCACCAACGAGGTATTCGACGCATTCGACTTAAGTAAACGGGTTCCAGTGTGTTTCTCAGACATTGACCTTTCCAGGGTCTTCGCACTTTGGGAGACGAAGCGGGAATTCGATGAGTTGAAAGAGAAAGCCAGATTCGCTAGGACCAAGGCCCCCCTGGCTAAAGATAAGAAGAGGATTGATAAGTCTCCTTGGTGATTTTCAGGTTCTGGTCCCTAACTCCACCAGGAATCTCTCTAAAGTGGGGGCTCTTTTGAGATTCCTTCGGTGAGAAGCATTTGCAGTTGAGTTGACGTTCACAATATGCCGAATGCAGTTCCTGCATCCTTCGTTTGCTTCCAGACATAGTGCAGGACTTCACCACCTTCGCGTGAAAAAGAAGTGCGCCTTGCTTTCAGCTTTGCTGTGTCTTGTGAAGTTCCATGTTTTTGGCGCACAACAATGTTTGCGTGTCTCCGTGTTTGTGACGCCTGCCTTGTTCACGTGTTTGCACTCGTCACTCGTACTTCGCGAACTTCTAAGTACACGCGCCTTCCTCCCAACACACTGTAAAGCGTAGGCTCCACTGGGCGCGCCCTGTGGGACTATGCGGTGCTGTGTGTTGGGTGGGTGGGTGGGTGGTGTTTGTCCCTTCGTTGGATCCGTGCACTCGGTTTGTATGTGGCATGAGTGTTCACTGGTGCCCAGCCAATTGCTGGATCGTTTGTGCCGAACTGGAACAAATGAAAAGCTTTGTGCTGTCTCCCAAAATGATTTCCTTTTTGAGTTTTGTGAATGCTTCACTTCACGATGTCCTATAAAAAATTTGTCTTTGCCACTTCAGTTGTCAAGTTCAAGCTTTCTCGACATCTTGCATTGTTGGCTTTGCAATGCAGTGAAGGATTCAGTCAATGTCACTTTGGAATGTTCGCTCTCGTTGATTTGGTCACTTGCAAGTTTATGTTCCCGCGTTTGGATTATGATTATGCCATTCAATTCCGAAATATTGGCTATAGCGTGATCTCTTTTGAGTTACCCACCCACCCTGTCCCTGGATAGAGGGTGCGGTTGCTGCCTGCACATCTCTCAGGGCTCTGGGGGCTCTTTTGAGATTCCTTCGGTGAGAGGAGCGTTTGGTACTGCCATGATTGGCCTGAAAATCTTGCAAAGGTAAAGGCTGCAAAACACTGTTCAATGAGGTGTTGGCTTTCAGCTTCACACCTAGATCACCTTGATTGCGCCTGTTGACAATCTCTTTTGGATCATGTTGATCCATGCATCTGCATCTAAGACGAAACCAAAGGATGCGCATAGCTCTGGCAGAAGCTGCGCGGACCACATTGTCCCAACAGTTGTTTGGCGGCAACCCTTTGCTGCGCTGAATGGCAAGGCCGCAAGGCCGAAGTATTGTCACCAGTGAATTATTTTGATCTAAAAAAGTGCTTGACATATGTAATGCTGTAACGCCGCTATTCATCGTGCATATATTAGAATTACAATCATAGATGGGTTAATGGGTGCGGTGAGGCTTGCATCTTTTGATTACTCAAATCAGCTAACCTCTGCTTCCCTGATCTCTTTTGAACCCCTTCAAGCACGGACACACGACTGTGCTTTTCTTGATTCGGAAACTAGCACACAGTTGTTCATTTTTCACTATATATAAATATATCTATCTATAGTACTATATATTTCTACTATATATATATATTTACATGTCTGTGTATTATACTAGGAATGAAGTTGAAGCTGAAGATGTGCCCTGAACAAATACTGTAAGATGTTTGCTTCCAGACTTCCTCCCAAGCACATTGGCCGTGAACTTAAGCTATATATATATATATATATATGTTTTGGTGCGCAGATCTTTATATTTGGCCAACAAAAAACTATAAGTCTAAAAAATGTAACTCTTATCCTGCCTCAGGTGACTGTGTTTATCCTTCTTCGAGCAAAACCTAATGTTCCTAGCCTGCCAGGCTATACTCCCAAGTGCGACAACTCATTGCCGCAAGAACATCCTGTGAACACACTCCAACCAGTTGTGGACACCCTTAATCAAAGCCACCTTCCTTTGAGATTCTCAAGTTGACCACTGAAGCCCCAAAGTCTTTGGGGAAAGATGTGCCGGAATTGGCTCTTCTATTGGCTTTCTACAAAGCCATTGAATGTGTGGCAGTTGAAGTTGATGCTCTGCTTCGAATGGCTCCTGATGAACCATTGGAATCGATGAGGGCAGTCTCTGTGCGACTATGTTCGGCGCACCAGAAGCTTCAGAATGCAAAGGAGGCAGTGCTTGTTTCATGCCCGGGCTTGTTCACAGGTTCCCAAGCGCTCACACAAGCACTTGACACCTTTGTGGACAGCCAGAGTGCGAGGGTGTGGAGGCTTGCGCTTGCCACACCTTTGGCAGCACTCAGTCTCGTCGTTGCCGGTTTGGTGGAGAAGGATGAGGAGGAAGATCATCTCGAAAAGGTGAACGCATCATGGGGACCATGGCTGATGCCCACCTTCTCGTCACAGGTTGTCTAGACAAGGAATGCAGAGCTGTCAAGTGCCTTTGTGGAACATGCTTTGACATGTGTCCAAAAAAGCTTGGCCAGTGATGCTCGACAAGGTCAACTTGCACATGCATCCTTTCAACTCCTCAAGGTTTTAGGTCTCCGGAAGAACAGTGACAAGCTGGAGTCTAAAATAACCATTGATCCAGATGCTGTCAGGTTCCTTATCTGGACTGTCTGGACTTATCCACAATTTGCCTACTGCTTGGCGCTGTCATATTTATTTTAAAGAAACTATAACCATAACTGACTTTAAATAGTTTCAACATATGCCTCCAACTCAACTCAAAGAACGAGGCTGGTTGCAAGCAAGCTTTACACCACTCTTTGGCACTCTGGCTCTGACATGGTTGATGCTGGCAAGCTCACTGTCTTCATTGCAGCTTGTCGGGACAGTAATACTGGTAATACTGGGACTAGACTGGTAATGACTAAATGAGTGTTGCTTTTCTGACAAGACTCACTACACATATTTGATTTAGTTTTAGTTTTACTATAACTATAACTATAATAAAAAACATATTCAGTTATTATATATAACTATATAATATCAACGGGCAGGATGGATAGATAATGTACATTGTCCTAGCAGCCTTTTTGAATTCAATTTACACAGTCCATATTGAGGAGCGCACCACGGAGTTCATGAACATTATCTACGCTGAGATTGTGGTAGAGCGGAGGGGTGAAGCCACAGCAAAGCTCAAGGAATTGAGCTCCTTGCAATGTCCCACCTATGTTCCTGGGCAGATGCAGGCCTTTCTGACCGCCATGCTGAACGACAAGTTACATAAAAAGCTGGCGGGTGCTGTTGACGCTCTTGAAGCATGCCTGCGGAGGGTCAAAGCTGATAGCGATGACATGGATGTTGACAAGGTCAGCATCTTGCATGAGTTTGAACACGCTGAATCCCAAGCGAGGCACGGCCTCACTTTGTGCTGTTTAACAACAGCGACAAGAATTTTATGCTCCAAGGCAGCGTCAAACGGCGCGGCCGCTTTGAAAGGAAGCATTGACGCAGTTCTTGATTTTGCAAAGACCGCAAAGCTGACACTGCCAGAAGACATCATTCAGCAGCTGTCAAGCGCTCAGCGGAAACTTGTGGCTTCTGCGAGTACAGTTTCAACGAAGAAGCCATCCGCGACCAATTCATAGTCATGGTCATGGTACTTTTCCTTGCGTGGGTTGCTGCCATTGCACCAAACACATTGTGGTTGCAGGTGTGCATTACGGTTGCAAAGGCAAATTTGCCAATTTGTGAAGAAGCTGACTGCACACATAGTTCCAAACAGGGAAACAGGAGTTCTGTCCGAGTGCCAGCTTGTGATGTCCTTTGAATGCTTTTTTGTTGATGAGGGTGATGCGGCAATGTAGTAATGCATTCTTGTGATGTCCAGCCTGTGCTAAAGTGTTTTTTTATGTCAACCACGTGTGATGTTCATGTTTTGTCATGTCAATTGAAAACTGATGTGCTTGTGTCAGCGCCAGTCTGTGAAAACATTTGCCACAGCATTTAGGGTTTGGTCGACTTACAGTCTTACCTTGTAGCTTTCCTTGAACCCATGGGTAAACGAGGGACGCCGGCAAAGGCGAGGGAGACGAGCGAGAAAAAGGCAAAGACGGAGGACACGCCCAGTGTTCTGAACATGCTCCAAGCTAGCGCAGGATCGCAGATGATAGATGCTTCCCTACATCCTTTTGAGAGCTGGAAAAAACGAGTGGTTCGGGAGTCACGCGCATACTACGCTGGCAGGGGCGAACCATGGTTTCTTTCTTTGTGGGAGCGGGCCAAACAGTGTGCAAATCATCCTCTCTCAGCCGACTTTATTGCGCGCAACTCCAAGCAGGGCAAAACATCTTGGTGCTGGAACCCAAAGGAGTATTGCGACAAATTTGACGCATATGTTGCCCACGGTGGTAACATGGCAGAATCTCCGCCAGTCAATGTCAAGGTGGAGACTAAAGTCAAGGTGGAGTGTCCAGCAGTCAAGGCAGACTCGGATGCCAATGTGGAGGCTTCTGCTGTCAAATCGGAACCGCCGATTGAGGACCCTACAGGTCAATGCGGGCCCGAGGCAGCAGAAACACTACCTGCCCCAGGACTTTCAGAAGTGCAAGGCACTTTGGCTTTGCCCAATCCCAATGGCGGAAAACAAGCTGATATTCCTGGTCCTCAAAAAGAAACATTTCCTGACTCAGGACTGTCGCAAGTGCAGGATGCTTTGGCCTTGGCTTGCCCCAATGGCAATGGCAATGACGCTGATCCCTCGGCCCAGGGTGCGCAAGCTGCTCCTCCTGCCAACGAAGATGTGGCTATGGCTATGACTCAACCTCAACCAGTCTCTGATCTGGATGTGGATGAGCAAGGTGATGCCGCTGATGCGGCTCCTTCTGCTGCCGAAGGCCTAGTGTCTCCCAAGGAAGCAAGTGGTGATGATGCTGCTGCGCTTTCTCCTGAAGTCCCATCGTGCGCCAAGGAAGCAGGTTGCGATGTAGCTGCAGGCTCAACTCTTTCCAAGGAAGCAAATGGTGAGGGCACACCTTCCGTTGAAGTCTCAACATCTATGCCTTGCGCTGCAGTCTCAGCTCCCACAGAAGCAAGTGCAGACGCAATGCTGAATGAGCCTGTGGTGGCTATGACGCAGATTGAGGAGAGTGAGGAGACTCTTCCCCGGCAGCAAATGTGTTTGCGCAGCCTACCATTTCCAGTGAGGATGCTGAGGATGCTCCAAAATGTGATGGTGATGATGCTGTTATGGCACCTTGTGCTCCTGATGTTTCAGCTACGGCCAATGAGGATGAGGATGAGGATACCATCCTATATCGCAAAGTTCGAGAGTACAGAAACCACCCGCTCTTTCAGCAGTACTGGGACCAAATGGATCCAGATGCAAAAGCGGCTTTCAAAGAAGAAAACCTTACCTGGGGTGAGGAGCCAGGAGACCCTTTGGCTGATGTCGAAGACTTTGAGCAATTCCTGGCTTCCTACCAGCCTCCTCCGTTGGGCAAAATGGCTGCTGAGTCTGAGATGAAGGTTGGCGCTGATCTTGCGTTGTCTGCTGCGGGGGAAGAGTAATTTCTACATGCCAGATGAGATCAAAGAAGACTATATGAATGGTTTAGAGGATCAGCTTGTGGAAGCCACCCAGCCCAAAAAGGTCAAGCCACTTGACTATCCTCGCAGGGCTATATCGACTACTGCTCTGTCGTCTGGTGCCTTGTCAGAATCAAATCATATCATTGCGAATCATATCGAATCGAATCATCATATCCTTATTAATAATATTGTGTAAACAAAAATCGTATTCATATTTTTTTGATTTGTTTTAAGTAATAATATATTGTTTATATATAAACATCAAATCACATTATCCATTTAGTCACTCAAGGTGAACAGAGCAACCATGCAGTCGTTTGCTCCGATGCCGATGCCAATGACGACAATAGCTCTGATCCGGAGTTCCCAGCACTGGATCCCAGCACTGGAAAATGCTCGTTGGAAGAGGCTCAGGAGCTGCTAGAAAGGACGTCTGCGTCTTATCCTCCCGACGACCCATCACGCATGTTTGTTTCTGTGGCTCGTGCTCCTCGGTTAACGCAAGGATTGCAGCGTGTTGCATTCTTGACAAAAAGCAGTGGATGGCTGTAGGCTGTAGCTATTAAACATTACAGGCCGCTACCTATCTTTGACTACCAGAATCGGAATCATAATCATTGACTATTGAGCATCATCATACAGCCGGGCCAAGCTCAGCCAAGGTTATGGGTGCCAAATTGCTGAAATACCGTTGCGAGAACGCCGACTCTCCTATCTACAAGAACCTAATGAGTCAACCATCAGTCTTGGCAGTGGGCTCTGGGTGCACAGGAACAGCGTCGTTACTTTCCTCCACTCTAGTTTTCATGATTTATGTTGTAAAGGTAAAAACAAAAACCAAACAGTTACTGCAGTACCAAACCTCCAGGACGAGTGGATTTGAGTTTGCTTGAGGTTTGAGGAGTGTGTGGGCATTGTTCATGAGACGTTGGCCAGAGTCTTTTGTGACCGAGACAACTCTGAGACATGGCTGCCTCTAAGACACGCAGCAAATCTAAATGACTGTAGTTGTCGAGTCATTGACATGTCATTGTGATGTTGTTTGTATTGTCATTGAGTCTGAGTCATAGTTGTTGTCATTGTCATTGTCAATTTCGTTGTCTTGTTTTTGATTGCTGAGGAAGTGGAAGTCAGATTTGGATGTGAATCTGTCGAGTTCAAAAGAGACTATGCCATGCAGAGAACGCTAGACCGCGGTCACAGGGTTGCATGTTCAAAGACACTTGGTAACAAACTCACAGAAAGATGTAAAGAACGAAGCGCAACAGTGGTACAGTACAATTCACTTGACAAGAATAGTAATTATTACTATTATGGTTATAGTTATTGTTGTTGTTATGTTATGTAAAGAGTTGTATATATAAAATAACTTAACTAGCCGGCTTGCTAACCCAAGGACATCACGTGCTTGAAAGACGATGCGAAGCGGAGGTGTGTTTGCCATTCACGTGCCTGCGAGATTCCTGAGATTGATGGTTTTGCTGCTGGTTTTTCTTGCACTAGCTATAGCCTCCTCAATAACAATGCTGCAAAGAACGCCACGGGAATGGAACGTGCTCGGAATGGCGACGCAGAAGTAACTTGGATTGTCGTGAGTCATGAGTCATGAGTGGTTAGTGCAGCTAGGCTTTGCTGCTCCCTACATGCCGCATGCATGCCTCAGTTTTGCTCAGGGTGGAACAGTTGCCTCCGTCTCCACGTTCCAGGGGTGTGTTGACATCTTGGAGGAGTGCACTCCGATATGGGCGTTATTTGAGTTCGATGGAATCCATCGATCGGCGCGAGGACAACGTGCAACTTGGATTGTCCCCCAAAAAACGTAAGCTGTAGGCTGCAGGGTCTCAAATTCCAGCTGTCCCAAGTTACTTTATTGTCGGCAGCTTGTGTGATTCTATCAACGAGGCAAAGCAACCTGAAGTTTGCTTGGCCCGCATTAGAGAGATTGGCTATGTTGCAAAGACCTACCTTTTGGATTCACAGTGGTATGGACTACCCCAATCACGCAGGAGGGTCTATATTGTATGTTTGTCAACGCTCACTCCGGATGTGAGTGTCAGTCCTAATGATTTTTTCCAATCAGTGCGGGCTATTCTACAGACTTTGCATATGGACCCTCCTCCAAAGCAGTGTGCAAAGCTTTTACTCCCTGGCAGGCGTTGTTTTCTTGACTGTGAGTGATGGAATGAACGGGCTCAAATCAACTCAGTTTTTCTTGTGTCATGAAATCGAGCCTAGGATGCCTTTTTGCTGCCAGATGACAACGACGCAGTGCAGAGTTACTTGAAGCACCTTTCTGCAGAGCGTGAGAAGAAGGTTCAGGAGCAAGAGGAATCAGATGATAAGAAAGACAAGCATCCATCGTGGGTTCAGCTACATATGAACCAAGCGGAGAAACGATACTTGATTGCGCTAGACCATAGAATCGATAATTGACAATTGATATGATTCCGATTCCTATGATTCTATTTTCTATTGATATGATATGATTCGATGCTGCCTATGTTTCGATATTGATGGCGTGACGTGATTGTTTCCAATTTGTATTCTTTGCGGGATTATTGCTAACGCTGCATGCCTAATGCTTACTAATACCCTCTGTAAAATGCTCTAGCCGCCTCATTCAGTTTCCAAGTTCCAGATGTTCTTTTTGCAAGGTGGTATCACCTGGCCTTTGCAAATTCATCCAGATGTTACTTCAAGTCCCTGGTTCAAGGTCTTGACAGAGCGAGCCCAGGAGGCTGGCACCTACCATGGATGTTTGCCTGAACTTGAGTAGGTAGTAAGCTGCTGTATGTAAATTTACTGTGAGTGGCGCGACTTTGAATCACAGGTGGTGGGATTTGCTGCTGACGATCGGTATCGCCTGCACAAAGAGCTGACCTTCCTACCACTCCGCCAACCGCTATGGCACAGGTCACCAATCAGTGCCGATTGTGCTTCCACGATCAACCCTGTGGAGCTTTTCTAGGCAGAGGTTGGTGCTAGGGCGGGAGCCCATGTCTTTGCAGGGTCTTTCATGGAATGCAGAGGATCTCGATGAACTCAACGTGCCTGAAACCCACTTGCAAAACTTTGCAGGCAATTCGCTCTTGGGCATGAGTCAAGTCATTGTGAGTGTGACACTGATGTTTTGCCTACTAATAGACTAGTGTTACAGTTTCCGTTACCGATACAGAGCCGACGCTCAGCAATTGTCATTGAATCCTGAATCTCAATCTCAGGTTCTCCGGCAACGTGATCATGGCTGTCTGCTTTGCAGTTCTTGGTTCCTTGCGATATGCCACGGAGTCAGAGGCGGACGAGAACGAGGACATTGACAGCATGGTGCAGCAGCTTCGCAAGTTTCGCTCATAAGTGTAGCAGCTTCGCAAGGCGAAGGCAAAGCCCAAAGGGCATGAATCGACTGAATCGGCGCCTACCTTTTTCAATCCAATACGGAACATGGATTGCGGGCTGGGGTCAGTGAGTAAACAATTCACTGCTTAGAAAATGGCGTCGGATTTGGTTTCTAAAAAACAGCAGTTGACAAACTGAGTTGTCCAGTGGTTGTTTGTTGTTGTCGTTGTTACTTGTTGGCAAAACTGATGAATCAGTGGATCTGCAGACCAGAATCCATCGTGCATTGACCGAGTACAGGGGTCATTTGCTTGGCCCACCACAATGGTCGACGCACCGATGCCCGAAGAGAAGGATAAACATGTTTGCGCAGTGATTCAGCTATTTTTCTGGCAATGTGATGTGATGATGTGGTGTTAGTGAGGCAACTACAAGGCTACATGACATTGTGTTACAGTTACATCATCTTTACTTGCTGCTTCCCCACCTATTCGTAACTCTTCTAATTCTCATTCATTAAATACTTTCATTACTACTTGTCGATTCTGAATCCTGGTTCCGGATCCTTTACAATTTCTTGCCATCCACTCACATGTCCCTTCGCAAATCCACTTGTCCACTCGTCCATCCACTCGCACGTCCACTCGTCCATCCACTCGCGCGTCCACTCGTCCACTCGTGCGTCCACTCGTGCGTCCACTCGTCCACTCGCACGACCGCTCGTCCGTACACATCTTGTTTACTCGCTCACTTTCCACTCGTATACATTTCAGCCATTTTACTGTAGAACCGTTTACGGGTTCTTGAATTTTGATAACCTTTCTTTGTGGTGATTGTCACTGCTCGTATTCTCATCTTTGCTGTTGGTTGTTCTTCATCTTGTCCTCGTCTTGCTGCTGTTGAGGATTGCCCTGTCCTCTGTCTCTTGCTTGTTGGAGGCATTGGTAATGGTGGTCTTGCCATTGTTGCACCCATTGGTGGATGATGTGTTGCTCCTGCTGGTAGTGCCAATGGTGTATCTTGTGGTGTCTGTGTACTTGTGTCTTCCACTGTAATGTCGGCTTGTGTGCCATTGCCCCTTGGGTTGGGCAGCCCATTGCCATGTCTTCCCCAAACTCTTGTACGCCTTGTCCAGGGCCACCACCATTGCCAGCCTGCCCTTTCCATGCTTGTCCTCCTGGTACATTTTGCAAAGGACCACGCACACCGGCGAAAAAGGCATGGATAATAAATCACCACCACCCCCTAAATCAGCCAGGGTGAGGCTTCATTCTGTTGGAGGCAGGCGCACCCTGGTCATCATGCAACCTGACCAAGAGCCTGTTCAAGCTCAACAGGTTTGCTTCTCCTGCGCAGGATGTCTCAAACCTAGGCTGTCCAGCCCAAGTGTAAATGGAGCTTTCCAGCCCAAGTGTCAAAGAAATTTCCTGGTGGCCATGAGCACTCCCAAGCCATTACGGTTGGCTGGCAGAGGACAGCACGCATGCTTTCACAGCTAGGTCATTTGAGCACTGCTGTGGGTGAATATTTCCACACTTCATTGGCCCACACTTATGGATCAGAATCTTTCATGGGCATAATGCCTATGGGGCCAGGAAGACACCAGGGCACAAAGTGCCACTGAAGATCTTAGAGAAGTTCAGGCTAGTGTTTCACCTCTTTTTGGAAGCCACATCACTATGGAGATGGAAGCCTGGATTTTTTGATTGATGATTGAACAAATTCAATCTTCGATTCAAAAATTCAATCTCGATTGAATTGTTTCAATCTAGGATGCTTAAGGTCTTCAGTGTGTACAACTGTGAGGTTGGTAGGGCTGAAATTTACCAGTTAGTGACTCTGCCGTTTGGTGCAACCCACTCGGTCTACGGTTTTGTGCGATTTGCTAGAATGATACACTCTATCGCTGCGCGTGGTTTGTACCTGCTCAACACAAATTTAACGATGACTTTGTGCTGCTGTCAAAACCAGGGAGCTCACTATCTGCGAACCACGCTATGCAACTTCTCTTCACCCTCACAGGGTGGAGCTACGTAAAAGACGGTAAGAAAGCGACTGAGTTCTCTAGAGTCTGCAAGGTCTTGGGAGTCGAGTTTGATCTGAGCAAGTCCGACCAAAAGCTTATGTATTTATACAAGACACAACAAAGGAGGCAAGACTTGAGTGGAGCTTTGACAGGTGTTTTGGAAGCTGGTGAACTGAACAAACACGTTGCGCTGGTGCTCAGGGGCCGTTTAGGATTTGCGGATTGACTGATAGCTTCTTGCGCGGGCGCCTAGGAAAACTGGTCTTGAAGAAACAGATCGATCATGCGTACTCGCGACAAAAGATCCTGGATGGTGACACTTGCCATGCATTGTTGGCCATGAAAGTGCGCCTGGAATCTGGAAAGCCAGTGGAAGTGATTGAAGCAGAACTCAAGCAATCGTTCATCTACACCGATGCTGCGTATGAACAAGATGGCAAGACAGGTGGCATTGGTGCAGTCTTTGTGAATGAAGAAGGGCAGTGTGTTGAATGATTTGGCTTTGCGCTGAGTCCTGAAGACTGCTGTGTTTTTGGAAGCTGGCAAAAAGACACCATCATTTACTAGCTGGAAATGGCAGCTGCGGTTCTGGCCTTAGCTGTTTGGGAACACGTGCTGAAAGGAAACGTGATCACCTGGTTCGGAGATAAACGATAGTGTACGCTTCTCCTTGATCCACGCCAACAGTACATGGGCTGAGGCGTTGCTGCGATTTCACCTTCAAAAAGAGTCTGAAAGCAACGCCCGAGCTTGGTTTGCAAGGGTCCCAACAGAATCCAATATAAGCGACTTTACTTCTCGCTTATGCCCGCATCCGTTGTTGAGAAGTGAACTTGAGAACTCGAAGGCTGCGCAACAGACCTTCCATGGTTTATGCTGCTTTGTGAACAACTACAAGGAGTTGGCCGAAAAGAAATGGGGGAGAGAAGTTCGGCGCAACCTCACTGAAAGTGATGTTGTTGTCTCTGTGAGTTTTAGGTTTGACGTGAGGTCTAACCGGGTGTCTTGGAATCTCTTCATTTGTTGCCATCGAAGGTCAAGGGAGGCTCCTCCAGGCGGAGATCGTGCGTGTCGAGGGCGCAAAATGCAGGTGAGATTGCGTTTTGGATTTGGCGCGGGCAACCCTCTGCGGAGATCGTGCGTCGAGGGCGCGAAATGCAGGTGAGATTGCGTTTTTTCTTTGTCCGGCGCAACCCTCCGCGGACATGGTGCGTGTCGAGGGCGCGAAATGCAGGTGAGATTGCGTTTTGGCCCGGTCCGGCGCAACCCTGAGCGGAGATCGCGCGTGTCGAGGACGCGAAATGCAGGTGAGATTGCGTTTTGGATTGGTCGCGCGCAACCCTCTGCGGAGATCGTGCGTGTCCAGGGCGCGAAATGCAGGTCGCGCTTCACTTTTGGAGGAAGTCTCGGTTTTGGAGACTTGGCGCACTTTTGGAGGAAGTCTCGTACGAAACGCTCGTTTTGGAGACTTGACGCTTGAGGAAGTCTCGTACGAAACGCTCGTTTTGGAGACTTGGCGCTTCACTTTTGGAGAGTCTCGTACGAAACGCTCGTTTTGGAGACTTGGCGCATCACTTTTGGAGGAAATCTTGTACGAAACGCTCGTTTTGGAGACCTGGCTGCGCTTTTGGAGGAAGTCTTGTACGAAACGCTCGTTTTGGAGACTTGGCGCTGCACTTTTGGAGGAAGTCTCGTACGAAACGCTCGTTTAGGAGACTTGGCGCTTTGGAGGAAGTCTCGTACGAAACGCGCGTTTTGGAGACTTGGCGCTTCACTTTTGGAGGAGGTCTCGTACGAACGAAACGCTCATTTTGGAGACTTGGCGCTTCACTTGTGGAGCTGGACTCAGACCTGGCCAGTTTGTAGTGCAAATGTAGCGCGGGAAAGAGCTTTTCGGAGCTGGACTCAGAAGTGGCCAGTTGGTAGTACAAATGTAGTACGGGAAAGAGCTTTTCAGAGCTGGACTCAGAAGTACAAACGTAGTGCGGGAAAGAGCTTTTCGGAGCTGGACTCAGACCTGGCCAGTTTGTAGCGCAAACAGTGCGGGAAACAGCGTTGCGGAGCTGGAGTCAGTAGTGTTTGCTTCTAGTGTGATATGACTGCTTCTAGTGTGTGGGCAGACCGTGTGGCGAATTACGTTCGTGATGTCGCAGTGCCATGCGATTTGCGCGGCCTCTGTGGAAAGCGCGTTTGCGTGGCGCCGTGCAACTGGGGAGCGCGAAACACGCTGGTGTAAACGCGGCGTGTCGCTGGTGAGCGGGATGATTGGCGGTATCGTGTGATAGGATTGCTTCTAGTGTGTGGGCAGACCGTGTGGCGAATTAAGTCCGTAATGCCGCAGTGCCTTGCGGATTTGCGCGGCCTTGGTGGGAAGTACGTTTGTGTGGCGTGGCGTAAACGCGACGTGTCGCTGGTGAGCGGGATGACTGGCGGTATCACGTGAAAGGATTGCTTCTAGTGTGTGGGCAGACCGTGTGGCGAATTACGTCCGTGATGTCGCAGTGCCATGCGGGTTTGTACTGTGGAAAGTGCGTTTGCGTGGCGCCGTGCCACCGGGGAGCGCGAAACACGCTGGCGGCGTGTCGCTGGTGAGCGGGATGATTGGCGGTATCGTGTGATATGATTGCTTCTAGTGTGTGGGCAGACCGTGTGGCGCGCTCCGTTCGTGATGTCGCCGTGCCATGTGGATTTGCGAGGTCTTGGTGGGAAGTGCGTTTGCGTGGCGTCTTGCCACTGGGGAGCACGAAACATGCTGGTGTAAACGCGGTGTGTCGCTGGTGAGTGGGATGATTGGCGGTATCGTGTGATATGACTGCTTGTAGTGTGTGGGCAGACCGTGTGGCGAAATTACGTTCGTGATGTCGCAGCGCCATCTGGATTTGCGCGGCCTTGGTGGAAAGTCCGTATGCGTGGCGCCGTGCCACTGGGGAGCGCGAAACATGCTGGTGTAAATGCGGCGTGTCGCTGGTGAGCGGGATGATTGGACGTATCGTGTGATAGGATTGCTTCTAGTGAGTGTGTGGGCAGACTGTGTGGCACGCTCACATCCGCAGATTCAGATCTACCTCTCTACCTCCACACACCCACGCATCTCCACGTCTATATCACACCTGCGCAGCCACACTGTGACTCCTTCACATCCGCCCTCTCTTTCTCTT